TTTTAACTTATCTTTAATGTCAAATTAATTATTGCTAAACAAACAAATGATTATCAAAAGGCCATCCTTTTTCACCAAATTTGGATTTGGCTAAAAATTAAGGACTGTACGCATAATAAATTATGAAAACAATAAAAATTGCTCCAAAATTGAAAGAAATTCAGGGATGGACAACCATAAACCTTATAATGTATTATAAGGTCTATGTAGACCTTATAATGTATTATAAGGTCTATGTAGACCTTATAATGTATTATAAGGTCTATGTAGACAATAATAAACTTTTAATAAAATTTTGCAAATACCTTTCAGGCGATATATCTAATAACTTCCCGATAATTCACAGCAATTAGATGTGTAGATTATCTTAATCCGAAATAAAATATTCTAATTTCATTGCACCTCAGGGCGTTTTCATTTTCACTACCACTTTTACTTTCACAGTTTTATCAAGAATGGCCGTAAATCCGTAGGCGACGCCTATTTATGCCTTTTTGAGCTACGTTTTAATTGGTTGCATGGACAACGCCACGGCGCTCAGAAATCGCATAATTTTTCATCACTTTCCTAAGAAAATTTACCACTTTTTTGCCGAACGTATTAACACGGCACCTGATTGGTCAGAGCCAAACCGGAGTAAAGTTAGGTGCTTCTAGAAATTTCTGTGCCATGTGAATACATCCATACTCTTCTTTTATCTATATATACTCTTCTTTTATCTATGGTGGCAAGCAGAAATCTGCGCCCAAAATATCATTTATTTTTAAATTTCATTAGACGATGTTTATTATTGGTCGAATTATCAGGCACGACAAAAATGTATGTAAATGGGAAATGATCGTAGACAAAAGTGATGAACAAAATACTTATAAAAAATTAAAAACACATAATTCTGTTAATTAAATTATTGTAGTTACAGAATCTTGTAATTGTTCACAAAATATAAGATGATAAAAAAATATCCTATTTAATTGCAAATTAGCAAATTATTTTAACATATATAGTATTTTATTTACTTATCTAACTAGAAGTTTCAGCAATTTGTCTTAATGCACAATGCCTTGCACAACTAGTTTAGAAATAGAAATTTTATAAACATCAAACAAGCATACAATCAACACAAAACAACAGGAACGACTCTGGATGAACTGACAATGAGATTCTACATCGAACAGTCGTATAAACGATCTGAGCCCGTCCATGTCAAAAAAAAATTCAAAAAACGAATATATCACTCAATTAAAATAAATATGAAAAAATCTCGTGGTTAAATATTAAATCCATATTAGAATCGAACACTTCCAGATACATAATATAATATGTATATGTTTAACACGTAATGCAAATGTTTATAGTTGCGACGGAATGTAAATAAATTACTTTCTATAAAGTATCTATATATTTAAATAAAAAACAAATTAATATAAAATATATAAAATGTCATTTCCCCTAATAAAACAATATTAGTCAAAAACCGGACTGTCACTAATAATTTTACCACCGATTGTTAAAATTTATTATATTAAATATAGATTTAATAATCAATTTAGGTCTTTATAATAATATACAAAAGAAATCATACATATTAGTTCAACATTAATAGAATAAATTACTTACCGACTGTGTCAAATCCATTCCATAACACAAAAACACAAAAAATAAAAAAACATAATTTGTTGTAAAATTTTAAATAAACGTTTGCAAAATATTTCTGAACGAATTAAAACTTTTTTGTAAATTTACGACTGTATTATTGACGAAATTTTCTTTTAATTTATTAATCGAGCTTGTACATTTTTGACGAACCGTTTCATTATACAAACTTTGTTTTCGTGTGCAATAGGTTGCTTTAATAATCGAATTTTTGATGAAAACAATCATTACAAAAAATATAGTAAAAACAAGGAAAAATTCATAAGGTTTCTACAGACAGCATATGATTGTCATGACGCATTTCCACAATTTGAAAGTGAGAGAATTTTTTTCATGAAATCTTATAATACAGGATTCGATTATAGATAAGGAAATTATTTATCTTCGTTTATTGTATAAAAGATAGGTTTTCTAATTAGTAATTTTATACTGAATGAATTTTATTAATTTAGTGCATACCACAAAATTAATTTAGTAAATACCACAATAAATAATAAATCGAACTGTTCTAAGATCACTACAAAACAAGTTTATTACATTTGAGGTTTATAAAGAAAATTACTTTGATGCTGCCTTCAATAATAAAAAACTAAATTTTGAAATATTTTATTCAGGTTTCATATGGAAAAATGATATTCACTCAATTATAAAACCATAATATAATTATATTATGGAAAAGTTGTAAATATGCCTAGGATCCATTAATGTAAATTCATATATTTTATAAATTACTATTCCAATTTCTGTTGGTCTCCATATGGAACACTATTCTGGGTATTTTCATCTATATACACACACACATACACACGCATATATATATATATATATATATATATATATATATATAATAATTTACACATAGGATAAAATATGAAATATACGATAGTTTATTTTCAATCATTATCTCATGTACAATTTAAATGAAAAAAATGATATAAAATTGAAAATATTTTTAAAAGCTTTTGATCAGGACATTTTGATCAGCCCTCTAAAAATCCTAACATTGTTATTATTGCACCTAACTGATAAATAGAATGAGTAATAATACTTTAAATACTGTTATCAGCTGGCATCGACTCTAAAGAGCCTTTGCTTTATATCGATTTAAAATATATATACTATATTATGAAATATATAGTTTTATAGATTAAATAGTTAATATACCTATGGAAACATGATTCCCCTTTGAAATATTAAACTTGATATTAACACATTGGGACCTGAATTATTTATTCAATAAAATCTACAATACCAATACACAAATATTGACACATTTTCTGTTTTAGAGTATTTTAATATCATCAATATTTTGGTGCATCTCGGAATATTCATTGTTTAATTGTCTCATGTGTTATAGAAACCTTGAAAATATATAAATATAAATAAAATATGTAACTAAAGTTTCAACATAATCAGTTTATTGTTTTTATTTTCCATAGGAGCATATACAGTACACATGGAATAAATAATAATACCTAATTAGATACTCGTCATATACCTAAAAAGCAGTAAATTTGACTGCCGACAACAATTTGTATATTAAGTTACAAGTACAATATACATATATTAATACGAAATTCACTGTGGGCTTGTCGCTATATCTTATTAAGTTTAAAATTCTATGTCTCCAAAAGGGAAGGTAGTGACCCGGGAGTAATGTACTACACAACAATTTCATAGAATTTCACATTTAACATATATAAAACGTAATGTGATAAAATTTACGACTCATTTTTGTTTAAAAAACACAGATGCTTGGAACAGGAAAATTATGCGTATCATCATCCGGCAAAAGAAAGGGCGCAACAATGAAAAGGTAACTTGGCAAAAACTCAATGTAATTGTTGTTACCAATAAAACATAATTTTTATTAATTCAATATAAGTTAAATAAAATAGTAGCACTTTAATTTGGAAAACAAATTAATATCTATCACTCTTAAAAAAAGAGTGGTACAGCAGATATAAATTTAATTAAATATATTAAATTTCTTATCACTTATATTTTTTTAAAAGATAATTTTGCACTAAATCACACAAAATTTGTATAATTTCTTCTATCACTGTAAGATTATGCAAAACAAAATATATGAATTCTTTTATAATCTCTTAAAATTATTTACAATTAAATTTGCTTTTCTATAGTTATAGGATTATGTAATATATGCCGCCCCTTTGTTTTGCCAGGAGACAAATCATAGCCAAATACTTCCTTAAAAATGGTTGTAATTGTCTTAAATGAAGTGATTTCAATCTGGGAAAAGTTCCAGTTAATTTTTTCAATTAGTTCAAAATCGAAATCAGCAAATAATCATTAAGCTTTATAGTGCAGATGCTTATTTATTATGATAATGCACTAGTCGATGATAGCGCGCTGTAGTGATATATTTTAAGACAATTATTATATCAATAATATACCAAATAATAATAATAATACACAATTGTACCACCTTACTGAATATAACACACAGAGAAAAACGTGTTAAGCCACCTCAATGCCATGTCACAGAAATCTATTTCATATAACAGCACAAAATCTTGTAGAGAAACAAATCAAAATATTTTGTGCAATTATAATGCATTGCATTGTAACAGAAGCATAAAAACTAAAGAAGTGATCTTATACTAACCAGTTGCTTAAGATTAAAATATAAACTTTGCTATATATACAAATATATTAATATTCTTTATATTTGCCGACAGAAATTATGAAAATAACACACGTCAAACATATTTTCTTGTACTCAATTAAAACAAATTTTGTGCTCATAACTAAAGATTTTTCTGGAGTTGCGGTCCATTAGCTCATAGAAATAAATTATTGACAGCAATTTTGTTCAATTATATGTCAAAAAAATTATGTTTCTATCTAATCATTATTGAATGTTAATGTAAATGGTTTAATTTTTTAATGCATGAATATTTCCAATAAAACATATTTTTGAATGTGAAGATAGTTTATGGCATATAAATTGAACCATTATTCCTATGGACAATATTTGAAAATATTAAATAATTTTAATGCTTATTATACTGAAAACTATTATAGAACATTACTGGGCAACAGAATATACTTTTGAAAAACATTTGTTTATAACAAAATTATAAAGAATAAAAACGTGTATGATTTCAGACATGAAAGTTACAATTTCTAACTTCTGGATTTGTTCACAGAACAATAATTTGATAAAGTTCCAACATTAAAATTACTTCACAAAACTTCCTCACAACTAATATTTTTTATAATTCATCAGATCCTTTTTTAAATTAACTTCAAAAAGCCGATGTTTGATACTGCAATATAATCACATACTTCTATATCTGTAGATTCCTCCTTTTTTAAAAAGAAAAAAAAATAATAATGATAAATTAATAATAAACAAACAGCTTATTTCTTCAGTCCATTTCCGAGGATAGTGCTCTTAGTTATTTTGCTTCCGACGCTGTTTTGACCAATATGAATACTAGAACAGAAAGTAATCTTTGTTACTAGAAATAATCCTGGTTACTAGAAATAAATATGACTATTAATTATGAAATTTATAAATATGTTGTAAATCTTATACAAATCGATACTTATTAAAATAATTCTTTTTATGGTTACATGCTTGTTCTAAAAGTTAACAGATAGCTGAAAATTATAATTAACTAGTTAAAAGTTGCATTGTGCCTTAAGGCAAGTTGCAAAAACTTTCCGATACGTTTAATAATTGACTTTAACAACCGAAATTGAAATTTAGATATTTAGATAACATTTTCAACTGCTTATTTCAAAAATCAAGTTTTCGCTTTTAATTAAATTAAACATTGCGATTTCCAATTAAATTGATTAATAATATCTGTAATTATATTAAATATAGTGCACAGACACGTGTGCTTCTATGTCCTAACATTGTAGCTTCTTATTCCAAAATTGATTAAACTAAAATGTGGATGAAAAGTTTAACACTTTCGTCGCCCAAAAACTGAGAAACGATAGTCCTCATCGAGATACATCGAAAGGCTTTTAAATTTTTGAAACCGGTTCAGGCGTTTTGAGCAAATGTCGATAAAGGTCTAATTTTAACAAACGTCAAAAAAACGCGATTAATTTTTGCAAACTTTGACGAATTTTCAATATTCAAAGACTTGTAACGCCGTAATATTTTAGTATGACCGTAATATCTAGAAGACCATGATATCTCTATCAACAAAAAAAAATCATAAAAATTGTTGAAAAACATTTTTTCGACAGTTAATTACAAGAAATTGCGCCAGCGAATCTTTACCAGAAACTAATCAGCACAATTTCCAACCAATATCTTTGGAAGATTTTTCAAAAAATCGATTCAGAATTGCGGTTTAAAACGAAAAACTTTGCACTGTTCTGCTATTTACAAAGAAATGGCTTGGCTGATGGTGTGCAAAACTGACAAACAACAGTCCTCATCAAAATACATCAAATGGCTTTTAAATTTTTGAAATCGATCCAGCCGAAATCTGTTCACATACACACACACATACTTTTTCCAAATTCGGTCTCATTCGATTCAGAATGGCTTGAAACGTCGAGAAAACATAAAATTAGCGAAATGGATTTTATTATGAAAATTCACTTTCAGGAAGTTAAAAATAGCACAAAAATGTACATATGTAAAATAAAAAACCTGTTGAATAAAATAAACTTACCCATCATTGTCTCCTCCAGCGGGTGGTGAGTTGATTCCTGCTCCTGAAGCAGTTACTGATGCCGCAGTAGAACTTAATTCCTTTTTAGGCGTTATGTTGTCAATGCCCATTTCACTTAACATTTGCAGAGCAGTAAGAGCGGCTTGATCGTGTGATGCTTCTGTAGACACTCCAGCACCATGACAAACTTGAGGAGGGCTTGTACTTAAAGATACCAGTGACAAAAATTCGACATGATTTCCCTAGAAAAGTAATAAGCAGTTTATTAAGTAGAAATACATAATTGCAAATATTGCTCTGTTTTCGTGATACATTGTACCTCTAATACAGCTGAGTAAAATAACAATTTAATACAAATTAAATAAATTAAAAAAATAATACGTATCTTAAATTAATATAAATACCAAAGTTGCAAAAACTTCCAGATATGTGTAAATAATGACTTAATCTATAATAATTAACATTTATCTACTTTGATAAAAGTAACAACAAAATGTTTATTTCAGCATTTTTGGATTGTACTACAAACCAATCAATGCGATTTTTAGTTCAAATCTTTCAAACAAACTTATACTATTAATAATTGGATTAGGTGCACAAACACGATCATGTGCCAAATCAATATACTTTCCGTAGAACTATAGCATATTAGGCAATCCACAGATTCTCAACGCGGGGCGTATGCACCCACAGGAGGGCAATTTGTAAATTAAGTCAGCCAAGTTCAAAATTGACTCAAAACGACTAAGTTTTTCACTCTGGGTAATTTGAATAAAATGATAGATATTGCTGAAACGTTTAACAAAAAATGTTTATTAGATTTATTTTAACAAAAATAATTCTGATTATCTTCAAATTTAGCATATGTGGATTTAGTGCTGTTAATGATATATTGATGAATTACCTGTATGCGGCATCTAGCCAAAAGTAAATTCTTATTTATTAAGTCGTTTTATTACATGTATCAAGATGTTCATGCAACTTGTCTTAAGACAAAATTCCTTACAACTTATACATGTGCCTTAGATAGAATAAGTCCATAAATACATTATTTATTAATTCAAAAATAACAATCAAAATTGCTTTGGATGCTTTGGACT